TAGCAACAAAATTGAAAAGGAAGGGAAAGGTGGTAGGAATCAGATTTTGTCATCAAGTTAACAATCCAAAATACGTATACATGAATCATAGCAATCTGCACGTACAGCCATGTACATTGCTTTTATCTATTCTATTGAATTTGTTTCATTCAGGATGATTGAAAAAGAAAAAGGGACAACAGCCCCGGACAGTCGTCCCATTTAGCCACCGTACACGTGACAAAGATCCGCTAGTAATAGATCCGATGTAAAACACTCACCTCCGCGGGAAACGCGTGTCCATCCACAGTGTGCTCGCTACCGGTCCGATCGTCCAATCCGAAATGCAAATGAATCTCGTGGAACTGGTACCGGTAGCTCAACGGGCCGCCTGAGATATTCACCGGATGACGGGTGTCGTTGTCCACGGCGAACACCACGCTGTGACCGGTGTTGGCCAGCACGCCGCCAACCCTGTGCTTGTCCACGTGCAGTGGCTGCAGGTTCGGGTCGAAGAGGAGCCTGGACGGCTCGAGGTTCACCGGCGATTGCCGTCTGCCCTTGTGACACAGCCACCAATCCGGATTGATGAGACCCCAGAAGCCGGGACCTTCGAAGTCGAACCGATTAAACGACACGAAGTCGAACGACGCGACTTCCCCAGCGTCGATTAACGCGTCCCGGCCCACCCCTCGAGACCTCGATAAACTATAACCTCCGCCTCCGGAACAACTTCTTGTTCCTGTCCTCCCCTCACCACCGGGATAAGCTTTCGGATTAACAGCTACGAGGTTGCTGTGGAAGCCGCGTACGAGTGGCGTGAAATTATTTCGGAGGGTGGGAGTTTACGATTTGATGAGATCGTGCGGGTTTCGAGAGGCCTCGATGCCTCGATGAGCTCTCTCTCCTCTTTCGGTCGGAGAAGGGCTGTTTGTAAACTACGGGTGTTTGACGAAACGAGCGTTCCGATAGATCTTTTCGGGATTGAGCAAGATGTCGGATACGTGTCGCTGTTTGATAAAGTTTCTTGGATGATTTTTCAAGGTTTGTTGGTGAAACTGACCAAGACAAAGTTGAGAGGAAAAAAGTAAATTGTGTCGTTGATGGATGTGTTATTAGTATTTTTATGAATTTTCATGTTTGATAAGGTTTCGTCGGTGTTTTTTCAAACGTTCTTGGTGAAACTGACCAAGACAAAGTCGAAAGGAAAGTCATTCTTTCGAAAAGAAAGAAGTGAATTGTGTCATTGATGAATGTATTATTAATGCCTTTATGAATTTTCATGTTTGATAAGGTTTCTTCGGTGTTTTTTCAAACTTTCTTGGTGAAACTGATCAGGACAAAGTCGAAAGGAAAAAAGTGAATTGTATCATTGGTGGATGTATTATTAGTGCCTTTATGAATTTTCATGTTTAATAAGGTTTCGTCGGTGTTTTTTCAAACTTTCTTGTTGAAACTGACCAAGACAAAGTCGAAAGGAAAGTCATTCCTTCGAAAGGAAAAAAGTGAGTTGTGTCATTGGTGGATGTATTATTAGTATTTTTATGAATTTTCATGTTTGATAAGGTTTCTTCGGTGTTTTTTCAAACTTTCTTGATGAAACTGACCAAGACAAAGTCGAAAAGAAAATCATTCCTTCGAAAGGAAAAAAGTGAACTGTGTCATTGATGAATGTATTATTAGTGCTTTTATGAATTTTCATGTTTGATGAAGTTTGAGATTAAAGTCGAGAAGGAAATCATTCCTTTGAAAGGAAAGAAGTGAGTTGTGTCATTGGTGCTCTTATGAATTTTCATGTTGGTGGAATTCCGAAGTTTCTGGTTTTCTATAAAATTGGTAGAATATGTAGTTTCTCGATTTTTATAAAATTATTAGAGTGTGTGAGTTCTGGGTTTTTATAAAACATAGTGGACTGCGTGGAGGAAAGTTTTAATGAAATTGAAGAAAAAATAGATTTTCGTGGAAACAAAAATGCAATTAAATCTGTAATAAAGATCCTTTAACACACTCGTGGCGACCGAATCCTTTGAGTAGTGCCCGACGAACCCGAGATATGGATAGGCAGTTTAACCTGTCCGGTTAATTAGAGGCTCACGAGTAAATTCCTTGCGGCCAGCGAGTCAAGCGGTTTCTGATCCCGCAGTAGGTACCTGGCACGACGAAAAGTTGACACCGAAATTTATGCCACACTTGCGGTACGGTCCGACACCGCTCGGACTTACGGGCTTTCGTGTTTATGAGAACTTTCGCGACAGTTTCTGGTTTCTTGCGAAACTAGCGAAAGGTGTAATAGATAGTGTGTTTCGTGCAAGGTATTGGAGGGGAGAGACAAGGATAGCTAAGTGTCGAGTGAGTGTTTGAAAAAAATTTTTAAAAATCTTCGGTGAAACTGAATGGAAAGTAAATTTAAAAATTAATAGAAAGCACGTCCCCAACGTCCCCAAAATTTCGCCTTGCGTCTCGTGCCAAATGCTCGAAGGAAGCCGCGAGAAAGACAGTGGTGCAAAAATTGATTGAAATGTGAAACTCTCGGAGTGACGAGGTGAAACTGAATGATATTCCACGACAATAATAACGACTATGTGTTTCGGTTAATTAACATGAGCAAGAGATTCCTTACCGGAAATACCGTCATAGGTCCACCATTCCTCCCAGCTGACGGGCCTAGATTCTGCAAATAGTTCATTATCAAGAATCCCCGCGATGTCACTTATGCGACAGCAGTCCTTAACCTAGAACTAGTTGCGGCGAGTCGAGTGGCAAGGATATTCGGCCATACTCCACCGAGTAACGAGCCACTCGTCTCAATTATACACTTTCTTGCTATAGTTCCGAGTCAATTGGCCGCTCAAGGTCACTCAACCAACCGCTCCCTCCTCCCTCTTCGTTTTCTTTTTCTTTTTCTTTTTTCTTTTCTTTTTTCGAAGCTTCCCACATTATCGTTCTCAGACACGTTTTCGAGGAAACGTCTGTCTGCGAGCCACCACTTGTCTCGTACTCTTCGGCGTACTCTTCGGCGTCGCCGCGAAGACAGCGGCGAGAAACGATCGCGAAGGGAGAGAGATAAAATCTTTGCCTCGTGGCATGTCTCGTACAATGGCGACGTTTAAATTCCTGACAAACGAGCGCAGAGTCTGCACTTCGAGGACCTTGAACGTTGTTTAACTTTCGTCGACTGCCGAGAGAATGTTTCGCGTTTCATTCGCAAAATTATTATCACAGTTAAGTTATTGTCTAATGTATATCGCGACCGAGAGAATAACGCGCATATTTGCTCGTTGTCCGTAAAAACGTATCTGCAATTTAATACATTTGAGACCAGTTACTGTTTGATACAATAACAAGATTGTCCCCAGCGACCGAGTGGTTTCTACAACAGTAACTTGCATTTCGATAAATTAACAAATCCCTGGCCCGGGATTCGGCTATTTTATGCCTCCGAAACTCTATTCTACGATCAATTCGCTTATCTTTTATTTTTTTCCTCCCCCCCGGTTGCAATCCAATTGATTCATTAAGAACGTCTTGGTGAAAAGGGCGCAAGTAGCAGAACCATAAAACGAGTCAGCCTTGAAGGTGGGCGAGTTTTAATCGCCGAAATAGAAATTGGAGAAACTAACACGCGCACGAAATGAGCAACAATTTCTGTGATAATTCGGCCGAGAAGAAAATGTATGCCAGACCATTTACCAACATTTCCGATCTAGCATTTAAGATCTGTCCAGTTTGGTGCTCCGTCAGGCTACAACACGCATCTAGGGCGCACACGGTCTGCCCACTTAATGCTTTAATTTATGACCGCGCCTATATCCTTTCCACCAAGAGTAAATCTTTGGAGATGATCCAAACGCTAAATCCTCGGCCACTGGTGTGATGTATCGCATGACTCAACGTCTGGATCACCGATCTCGAATTTCTAAATCTAATTGTTGGAAATGATTTCGTCTTATTTCAAGGCAGTCGACAAGGTCACAAGACAATGTCCAGATAAATCGACCCTTAACGATCGGCAAATTTTCATTTCGTAAGAAATGAAGCTATACTGACCGCAGTACGTGTGTCAGAAATGTTCGCCATGCCGCTAAGGGTTAATCCAATGAACAAAGGTTAAGAACCACCGAACGCAATGGCGGGAACACTGGGGGGGAATCGTCGAGTGTACCTTGTATCAGGACGATCACGAACACTCCCCAGACGCCCAGGAATACGGAACTGAATGGGGCCATTCCTAGGACTGCGCGGTCTTCGTCAATTGGACATCATTCGGCTCGATCCTACACAACACAACGGAGAAAAGAACACGATATCACTCCAGATGCACGTGTATCAGTTTGAGCGTACACCGGCTCGTGAAAGTGTTTGAACGAAATTTAATATAGAAAGGCTCGTTGAAATTTCACTTGTTGCGATTATCACTCGTATATCACTTTATTATATTTGTTAAATACTCAGAAGATTGCAATGTAGCATTAAGTAAATAATGGAGTGTTGATTCTTTAAATATGTATATTTGTATCAATTATTGTATCAATTAATATATATGTATCAAATATATTTTCCAGCTTTTATAAAAACAACAATATACAAAAAACTTTGATACCCTCGTTGAAATTTTACTAATGATTGTCACTCATAAATAACTTTATTATATTTGATAAAAATTTGTCAGAAGATTGCAATGTAGCGTCAAGTATGGCGTCACTGAGTGTTGATTCTTTAAATGTGAAATTATATACATATTTGTATCAATTAATATATTTGTATCAAATATTTCCCAGCTTCTATAAAGACTTTAACAATATACAAAAAACTTTGATATCCAAATCCTCGTTGAAATTTTACTGATTGTCACTCATAAATAACTTTATTATATTTGATAAAAACCTGTCAGAAGATTGCAATGTAGCGTCAAGTATGGCGTTACTGAGTGTTGATTCTTTAAATGTGAAATTATATACATATTTGTATCAATTAATATATTTGTATCAAATATTTCCCAGCTTCTATAAAGACTTTAACAATATACAAAAAACTTTGATATCCAAATCCTCGTTGAAATTTTACTGATTGTCACTCATAAATAACTTTATTATATTTGATAAAAACCTGTCAGAAGATTGCAATGTAGCGTCAAGTATGGCGTTACTGAGTGTTGATTCTTTAAATGTGAAATTATATACATATTTGTATCAATTAATATATTTGTATCAAATATTTCCCAGCTTCTATAAAGACTTTAACAATATCCAAAAAACTTTGATATCCAAATCCTCGTTGAAATTCTACTGATGATTGTCACTCATAAATAACTTTATTATATTTGATAAAAACCTGTCAGAAGATTGCAATGTAGCGTCAAGTATGGCGTCACTGAGTGTTGATTCTTTAAATGCACACATTTTCCAGCTTCTTTCAATACATAAAACCTTGACATTCAAATCTTGATATTTGACTAGTCGTGATTGTCATTCATAAATAACTTTATTATATTTACTAAAAACTGGTCAGAAGATTATAGCGTCGAGTGTGGATTCTTTAATTATTAATTTGTATCAAATATCTTTCAGCTTCTATACAGACTTTGCTAACAAAGACAGTCGTGATTCGTAACGAAATTTCAAAAACGGCGTGTACAATGTATAAAAGTAACACTGTTGTAACACTTTCGAGAGCCTGTATATAGCTCTTCTTCTCCCCTCGGTACACGACCACTAGCTCCTTTCCTCCTCGCTTTTGCAACCCTCGAGAACCATGCCCGAGATCAATCGAAACGGCAAGTAGTAGCAGAACCTCCGTCAAAACGAAAGCAACGAACTTTCCAGCCGCGACAGCGAACTTCTCTGTGTCCTCGACGGTGAAACGATAACGAACGCGAACCACAACTCCGATCGATCCACGACCACGGTGTAGGAATATTTCGGGACGAGCAGGACTTTTAATTAGCCAGAGACACGCGACTTGAAATTACCAATGTGCTTTCGTCGAGGGAAAAATGACACACAGACAAAACGAATACAGTGATATTCTTGTTTAGAGTATTTTTTTCGGGATTTTTTTCTTTTCCAGGGAAGAAATTTTTCCTCTCGAGTGAAAAGAATTAAAATTACGTGGATTACGCTGAGCTACGTTCTAAATATTGTCTGACACTGTTTTGCTCGTTCTACTTAACCTCTTGCGCTGGAATGACATGCCACGCACGTGGAGAATTTTTTATTCCAAAATTGTAATATTTCCTCAGTTTTAGATATATTCAAGTAAAACAAATAATAAATTTACTACTTCTCAATGATTTCTATATTTTTCAAGAAAAAGAATGTGACGAATTGTCGTATACGGTTTGGTCGTTCGTTATGGTCCGCAATCAGTTACCAGCGGTTAACCTCTTGCGCTGCAATGACGTGCCACGCACGTCGACAATATTTTGTTTCAAAATTGTAACATTTTCTCAGTTTTAACTACATTTAAGTGAAACAAAATAGGCAGAACAAATAACAAATTTATTACTTCTTAATAATTTCTATCCAGCGATATCACGCCACGACGAGTTCAAGAAAAAGAAAGCGACGAATTATCGTACACGGTTTTGGTCGCTCGTTATGGTCCGCAATCAGTTGCCAGCGCAAGTGGTTAACCTTTTGCCACGCACGTCGAGAATTTTTTTAGTATATTTAAATATAACTCAAAGGCAAAGTAAATAATAAATTTATTACTTCTTAATAATTTCTATGTACAGTGATATACCGACGAGTTGAAAAGAAAAATAAAGCGACGAATTGTATACGATTCGGTCACTCGTTATGGTCCGCAAGTTAACCTCTTGCGCTGTAATGACGTGTCCACGCAATGTCGAGAATTTTTTGTCCTAAAATTACATTTTCTCAGTTCTAAGTATGTTTAAGTATAATTAAGTAAGCAAAACAAATAACAAATTTACTATTTTCTCAATAATTTCTATCCAGCGATATCGTGCCACGACGAGTTCAAGGAAAAGAAAGCGACGAATTATCGTACACGGTTTTGGTCGCTCGTTATGGTCCGCAATCAGTTGCCAGCGCAAGTGGTTTCCCTCTGCTTCGGCGAGAATCGCGAAGGACTTTGAATTCAAACGACCCAATGTCCGGGAACTGTCCAGCGGGTGTTCGATCGATCGTCATTTAAACGAGCACTACCCTATTACTGAATGAAATTGACAAACAGAATGGGATGTTCGTCATCACGCGATACTACGTACATATCTGATCTCTCGTTCCTATGCGCGACATCTACATATGTACATGGTGTCGACCGATACACCTCGAGATACGGTACGAGATCTAACCCGATCTAGCCTAACCTAACGTAACGACAAAAAGGAGAGGAGACGCGTGTCGTCGGTGATAAGAGCCACCGGGTTCACGAGCATCTCTCCGACAGGAAAGAAAAGACAAATCTGCAGTCATCGTCGTTGTCGAGGTTGGGAGAAGAACGCTCGAAAAGGGGGCGGGCTTCCCCTACTCGAACAATCCCCTCAACTCTCTTCCTCACTCTCTCTCTCTCTCTCTCTCTCTCTTTCACTCTCCATGGGTGGCCCATTCTGTGTTCGAGTCCACTCCACCCCGTTCCATGCCACTCGAGGCCTGTGTTCTTAGGTCAGGAAAACTCGAGTAGAGGCTCCCTTCGAAACGTCACCGATCGATCGATCCGATCTCACTCTCCGACGCCGCTATCCAGAGCCGGGAGTGTCTCTAACCTACAACCCAGCAGCCGGAAAGATAAGAGGGCACTCCGCGAGTGCGATGACTCGGCTCTCACCGGATAGATCCCTCGGTTTTTCTTTCGGGCTCGGAGGCTTCGGCACGTTCCTTCCGCGATTTCGATCGCGTACTCTCTCCCCTCCTTACCGATGTATCCGGCTTTCAGTGACAAATTTCACGTGCCGCTAGACAGATTCCGCGTCGACAATGTCGGTCGAATTTCGTTCGAACGACATTTTAATTGATGGTCGATGCAACGAGCTCCTACCAGTTGAATTCGCCAGCTATATGCGCGCTTGTATTACACGGACGAAGAACTAGAAGCAGTGGAGTGAAACGATCAGAGAGAGAAAGAGAGAGAGAGAGAGAGAGAGAGAATTATCGATGGAAAATTACAAGAATATTATTTGATAATGTTTGGCATGTTCAACGAACAATTCGTTCTCGGGCTTTCGAAAAATATTTTTCGACGCAAGCGAAATTCTAGCCATGAGAGACGAGACCAATTACGTGTTGCCGAATCGAATGAGCTGCGGAATGATTAATCAAACGAGGGCGTCCGCATCGGCGAGACCAGCTTTTTATCCGCGTATATGAAGTGACGCATGAAATGACCAGGCGAGATGTTAAAAATCCTGGAAAATTGCGATATGAGATTTTCTTCGATGTATGTTGAATATCGGTCAGAGATTCGCGCGATATAGCCATCGACAATTCGAGTGGAACTCAGCGTGGTAATAGTTCAATGTGTACAATGAACGTAACCACAATTTTAGCTGCTGACTAATGGCCAGTCAATTATGTATAATAGAGCTCGCCTAAATTCCAAACAGTCGGGAGACCGAACAGTAATTCTCACGTTGGCAAATAGCGACTTTGTTTGTCGAATAGAACGGATGAAAAATATACAACGTTTCTCGTTTATTCTCGTTATGCTCTACACAGCACTGTCGATAAGTTTAGGTTGCTCAGTAGTAGAGCCGAATTCAAGCGAAACAAACTCCTGAATGAAATGGCAAGTAGAGTAAGAAACATTAAAGTGATCAGTCAATTCATTGATTTTCGATTCTTATTGAATTTATTGAACGACTAACCGAGTAGAATTGCTTGATTGACGAAATCAAGACCTCGAATCAATTATTTCCGATTTATCTCGTTCACGCGTAGAGCGAAAACAAGAAAGTTCAGTGCCATCGACGGAAATATTCGTTCATTTCTAATTTGGATATCTGAAAAGGAAATTGTTTTCGCGAATGCGCGAATCAAAAACTCCGTCCGTAACGCCGAGAGGGGAATGTAATATACGTGATTGAAGATCGGCAAAGTATATTACAGGAATTATCCGTATACTACTAGTTGTCTTCCGCGTTAATTCACATCGTTTGAGGACCATATTCCGTAATACGGTGCTCGCTCTATGAAGCTAATTCTAAGAACTCAAAGATCAAAGGGGACCTTGTCGGGGACATACTGTGAACGTTAAATGGACGCTGCTATATAGATGTCCTAAACTCGGTAGTTTGTCACTCCACGAAGCCAGTTTAACCCTCGTCCAGCTTCTCGCTGGGAAATTGTCACCGAGCATCGACTATTTTATTTATGACAATGAAACGAGGGCTTTAAAAAAAGAAAAACCTTTTTTACCCCTACGTGAAAATCACGTGCGCGTGCGATGGCTCGGGACATTTTGCCAGTCTCGTAGCCACTATACACTGACAAATTACGTTGATTCGATTGAATTAACTTTGGACACAATTAAGTAGTAGTGAATTTTATAGTGAAACGAGACCGGATTCTTGAACTGCGAAGGCTGGACAATTCTAACTCACGTTTAACTATTTCTGAGTTATTTTCACTCGCACTTTATCGTATTTGAACTGATATTTCGAACAAATTTCGCGTTAACTACCACGTAAATTATGTGTGAGTCAAAATTGGTTACAGCTAGAATAATTACAAGTCTCTCTCTCTCTCTCTCTCTCTCCATCGCAGTAAAATCAAATGTGACGCTCGACGATCCGTCAAAAACGATCCTCCACTAAATTTAAGAATATAAGACAATTGCAGAGAGACATGTAACGAATAAGCCCATCAGCCAAAAAGAAGAAAAAAAGCCCAAACCGTCCTTGGACGGGTCAGTTGTTCCATTTTGTTTGTAAAGAGAACCTAACCTACGAGAAGCGAACACGATGCCTTATGATAAATCCGTATCGGAGGACAAACGAACCGGAAACAGAACGGGGATCTGCTGGTTCCTGCTGGTCCTCGCTTCGTCTCGAGCTTCGTCTTTAATTAGACCCTATCGGATCGCGATTGATCCCGTCGGATTTATTACCAAGTCGACGGTGTCTAATCGAGCGAGCCAGAAACGAGTCCTCTCGTTCGATTGCGCCACTCGAACGCAATTATCGAGCCCCGAAGGATTTTCGTGGTGCCACCCCCGTCCGGTGCGAGAGCCTCGAAATTTAAACGCTCTCCGAAATATCCTGCCTCTCTGGCCACTCTCGATAATTCCTCGATTCCGACGATCGAGACGAAAAATAGAGAGAGAGAGAGAGAGAGAGAGGGAAGAAAAAGGAGAGGAAAAAGGAGAGGAAAAAAAAAGAACACACGGCGGAGAGAAAAGAAGCACTCTCTCTCCAAGGGTTGGTTTTAAGTCTGAAGAGAGCGTGGACTGTGAAACGGTCCTGAAAACGCTTGAAACAACGAAAGGGAACAATTAGCCAAGTCTTACCCCACACGCCAGAGTGCAATGACTCGACACGACTCACGGTTCTACCGTCTTGCCGGTTTTCTACGTCGACTCGTCCCCCATAGATCACTCCTTTGTTCCGTCGTCTCTCTAGCCTTGGAAAATGGCCAACGAATGGAAGGAACCAACGAGGCACACGTACGAGAAGGATGAATCGAGGAAACACTGTGTATAGTATCGTGCACCGTACACATTAGCCGTGCACACACTCGTACACTGAATAGAAGTGCACACGTAACCGACGTTATACGTGTGTAACACGTATGTACGCGTAGGTAAGAGTGTCCTGTCCGGTCGAACGATCGATCGTAGGGTCGTGGTTAAACGTCGGGCCGTGTACTTCGATCGAGACGATTCCCGGTTTAGGACACGGGCCGCGTTTCTCCTCTTGTTCGCCTCTCTTCTCGACAGGCAATTTGGCCCCGCGACCTTTCCTTTTTTTTTTTTTTTTACTCCGCGGCTCTCTCGCAAACGAAACGAAACGAAACGAAACGAAACGAAACGGCAAACTCCGCGAAAGGCGGACAAAAGGTTTGTACGTTGCGGGAATTTCTTTGAGATTCTCGATAAAAGGGGGGAAGCGTGAACGACTGGCAAGAGAGACAGAACGTATAGGGTCGGCCGCGCGAGCGAGACTTGGTGGGAGGACGAGCGTGCGAATCGATCGGCAAAACGCGCGATGGTGCGGCCAAAAATTTCGCGTGACGAGTAAACGCGGAGGCTATGGGCACCTCCTGGGCTGAAATCAATAAACGCCGATCGTGAAGAACCGGCTTTAGCGCCGGCAGATATCTCCCTTGTACACTCGCGAGACCAGCTGCGGTAACCTGGCCAGGATCCTTCCAACGGAGGCAGAAAGACAAAGAAACAAAACAACACTGTTCGAACAGGACTTGTGTATAAGTACGCGTACGCGTACCTCTTTGGTATCGCGGTTTACGTCGGCAAATCCCGTGAAAACGGGATCGAGTCTCCCCGCTGGTCCCCCGATACTGACCCGTGCACGACGACTCGAAAAGGACTCGAGGATCGTCTCGTAGCTTCCTCCTCCTTTTCTTCCGGCTGCTCCTCTCGCTTAGCCACCGGCACCACCACTTGCACTGCTAGTACGAGGGAGCAGCAACACCGTACGATACGACACGACACGATACGATACGATACGATACGATACGATACGATATACGCGATATCCCGCTGGAATACAACGACCGAGACCAAGCAAAAACACACGCCGGGGGTGCGTTTACTCGTATACCGAGGGTTCGAACGATCGTCGTTGCTCGTCGCGAGTCGATCTCGGTGTGTCTGTTCTTTTCCCTTTTCGTTTCGTCTTCGTTTTCTTTTTTTTTCCCCCCCTTTTCTTTCGTTCTTCCTTTCTCTCGTGCGAAATAATCTCGTTAAAAACGGTCTGCGCCTTTGCGAAGGAACGACGAAGGAGGAACGACTGCCCTACGAGACCAGTGTATACGTTCCTCCTTCTCCCTCTCTCACCCTCGCGCTCCCACCCGATCCGTACTCCATCTAGATCTCTCGTCGGCCGCTCCGGAGGCTGACGGCACGCATGCGCCGCCAACGCGAGTACCTTCGTCTCTCTCACACCCGGCGATAGTTCAACGAGGGTGTATAGGGAACGAGGCTAGTTTCCAGCTCGTTCTGTCTTACTCTGGCTAGCCATCCTCGGTTCAGGCCACATCGATGCTTCCGGACATGGGGGAACGAGCGTTTCGCGCCTCCGCCGCTCTTCCACCCTCACACTCTCTCTCTCTCTCTCTCCTCACTTCTCCCGTCTCTCGACGTGCGAGGACGTCTGCGCACTTGCCGGACCAGGACGAGGATGGAGCCTCCTTCGGGATACCGGAGCACCTGTGCGCCCTTTGCCCGCGACCTACTCGCGATTTTTCACCCTCGCGATTCCGATTACCTGCACCTCCTTTCTCTCCCCCCCCCCTCCCCTTCTCTTTTTTTTCTTCTCGTTTCAGGAATTATCCTTGGCAGCTTTTCTTCTGTTTTTTTTTTTTTTAATTTGCCTCGCGACTCTCCGAGTTGGAACCGTCGTCCAGGAATTTTTGGCACAGCCAAACCTGAAATTTCACAGTTGGCGATTTTTACCGGTTGGGTTTTTCTTCCTCCTTTTTTTTTTTTTTTTTTTTTAGAATTGTTTTAGAATCGAAAAAGCGATCCGACGTAGTTTCGAGTTCATCGAGGTGGTTTCTTGCAAGACTTTCGACCACGATTGAGATTCTCCAGTAATTTTTACCTTCGTAATAGAAATTGCTCGGGAATTATTCAAATATCTACCTTCTGCTGTCGATGGGTTTAATTACCTGTTTCAAGGTTTTGAATATTATTGAGATTGAGTGTTTTTTCATCCCCCCCCCCCCAATTGGAACTGGCGATTTTTCTCTCTCTCTCTTTCTCTCTCTCTCTCTCTCTCTTTTGAGAATGACCGTGAATTTCATTTCGATTATCCTCGATGGAGCCATTTGGAGATTTAATTAGAATTAACCAACGTTACAGACTTTTCACTCCACTTTGGTGCAGGGATCAGCGAGTTTTTCCGGAAATTAAGCTTCATTTTATATTGATTTCGTGTATCTAATTGGGGATTTAATCATAATTACCTCGGCTGTTTTGCATAGTAATTTACTAATTAATAATATCGGCAAATTGATAAATGATTAATTATAGATTATAGGCTTCCGTTGCGTAAACAGTCCTTAAACTGGCTCGTAATTTGCAAAATTCACTCGAACAACCTCGCTCATTCTGTCACCAAAGCTGACACCGTACAAACATTATTATCGATGACTAACTTTCCACTTGTAATGTCATCTCAACAATGCAGCAAATCTTTGGTGTAAAATTTTTAACATCTTCGACAATGAAATATATATAAATAAATAAATAAATATATATAAAAGAATTTTATTCTCAAAGATGTTAAAAATTTTACACCAAAGATTTGTTGCATTATTGAATTGACATTGCTGGAGAAATTTTATAAGTTTACAAGTATATTATATATATTATATATATATATAATTTAAATATATATGTATAATATTAGATATATAATAATATACATAAATTTAAATATATATATATATAATATTAAATATATATATAATTTAGTTGTGGTTATTTTTCATCTTTCAAACTTTTCAGAAATTAAATCAAACTTGCGAAAGATAATAGACCTTAGACAACGAATAGATTTCACTAAATTTCACTCAGGTCTTTTTCAAAATTTTCGCAAAATTTCTCCAGCAATTTCTCACCTTTCCACGCAGAGTCGGTACATTCTTCGAACATCTTGCCTCCAATGGTAAAATGAAAAAAATTTCTCCCAGACCATGGATTTAACTACGATTCATTCGATCCAAATATTATCCAATTTTTCAAATATTATCTTTCTTTAAAAAAAAAATCCACCTTTCTTTCAAAAAAAAAATCTACCTTCCTTCTTTCTTAATTTTCTCCAAATATTCTCTTTAAAATTCAAGTAGAGGCATTTCCATCCCCGTCGGTCCTATTTCGAGAGATATGTGAAACTGTCGGGCACGAAATCGGTGAAATTGGCTACGTAAATAGTAGGATTAGATTGTTTGACACCGTTGACCTATTTACGATTTTTAGAACCCTTCCCGGAGGCTCTCACCCGCTCCTCCTCCCCCTGCCCCCCACCCGGCAGATACCAGCCGATAAATTTAGAATGGCTAGTAGCGACGCTGTCGAATTTAACCAGGCAAATAGTAGAACTGATTGCTTTCACTTTGAAGTTGAATAAGTTAGGCAGTCGATTCGGTTGTTTCGGATTCGCGTTCGAGTTGGCCACGTTCCATTTATCGCCAACTTTGGCTGTTGCTTTTTAGCGACGTTTCGAGTTGTCAGCCTGATTAATTCGATCAATCATCCGGCGTCATTCACTGGATGCAATTACTTTACGAGCCCCTTTAATCGGATCTATCTGCACAACAGCAGCCGTGTAATGGAAGAAAGCATGCTTGACAGACACTCAAACTTAGATCGCCAATGTCCACGACTCTGATTGAGAAATAATCCACTCCGTGCAAAACGAAACTTTACAAAACAATCTCACCGTCATCGTAACGAATATACTTTTATATAGACTTTTATACACCTAGACTGCCGCGATTATGTTGGCAAAGTTTGAAACAAAGTCTACAGACGTATTAGGATACTTGTTACATTTCAGATACGCGATTGTGGTTTGACCAAACTCTCTCACGAGTCAAAATAATCTATCCCGTGGTTTGTCAATTTCTCAATCTCATTGTTTCGTCAATTTTCCAATTTCACTTTATAAAGCAATTTCCATCGCCATTGCAATCGGTATATATTAGTAGACTTTTGCGCATCTAGACTATCGTGATTACATTGGCAAACTTTCGACTTCTCGGCTGCAAAAGTTACAGCGTTGCAGTGCAAAGTGTTATTAATATATTAAATACAGACTGCTGTATAAAGTGTCTGAAGTTTATTCAGTTTCGAAGCAAACTAGTAGCTAATTATTCTACTTACTCTAGAGACTTTCGAGATTTTCTACCAAATCTTCTAGATTCTCTAATTCCTACCAAACTCTCTCTCTCTCTCTCTCTCTCTCTCTGGTTTCACAAAGAAATCATCAACTCCGAAGTCGATCGATCGTCCTTCCTCTAAATTATTCAACAGAATTCGAAGTCCCCTCCTCTACCAAAATCCAAACACCAGCATGCATTTTTCATATTGCGAATCCGGGCGTGCGAGCCCTCCGTCATTCGAAATTACCATTTCGAAATTCTCAGCCGTAAAAGGGACCTAACCTTAACCTTCTAACCTCGCCAGTTTCGCGGAACTGCGCTGCCACGGTCTGCCAGCCATGTGTGCCGGAATTACGTCAATATCCATAAAATTGCCAATGAAAGCCAAACGAACGTAAAACGGACGTGGTATTGCTCGTCGTGTGTGTGTGTGTGTGTGTGTGTGTGTGTGTAGGAAGAGGACGACGAATAGAAGATGCTAGACGCGAGCTAGAAACGTGTCCGTGAGTTGAGAACTCGACCCTGGACGATCAATCGGATCGTCCTCGTGATCTCTTCGACGAGCGGTGAGGCCCAAGTCGATAAAGGGGGCAGGAGAGGGACATTGTGTGTGCAATTTTAAGCTGATGGCTGGTGTTTTCCGTGGACGTAAGCAGCGTGTGCCACGTGACCAGGGCAGGATCTCCGGCGCGGATAGCACCGAAAAGCTCCTGACTGGTCGACTACGCGGAGTCGCTTATCGATTTTCAAAGCGGCATTGCCCGAAACGCCGCTTTCCAGGCCTCGCCGTTCTCCTACGATTCCGCGTGCACCGAGAGAGACAGAGAGAGAGAGAGAGAGAGAGAGAGAGAGAGAGAGAGAAAGAGAGCTCTGGAGAATTCCAAGTTGCATCCGTGCCCTTGAAGTATCACCAGCTTCGTTCGTGTTTAAAACTCCCTCCCCCGATTTCATTAATATGTAAAATTTAAAATTCATCAGTCCTTTCCTCCTTGACGCGCGACAGGGATTTATTTGGATATTTGAATCTTTCGTAATTCACTCGTAATTTCGAATTTTTCTCGCGGATTAAGTGTCCCTCCAAGGGGAACAACTTTAATAGGATTTGTTACTAGTTGTTCGTGCTCTCCCTTTCTCTGTTGAATCAAGGAGATTTCGCCAGCAGAGATTGAGGTGTCTTTTAGGTAAATTAAGGTGGTCCCTTTTCTTTTTCTTTTTTTTTTTTTTTTTTTTTTTTTTTTTTTTATGCCAAGCCGTGACGTCAAAGCCCGCGTGTCTGGGCCTTTGAGTTTCCAGGTGGATACTATTCGCCTGCGAGGGAAGGATCTCTGCGTAATTTTATGATCTATTTAGTTTTCATTTTTCTTTTCTCTCTAGCGTGAAAGCTAGAGTCTAATAATTATTACTGTAAAATATTGTAAAATAGATTATTGTAATATATTATTGTAAATAGTTAATATATTAATATAATAGTGTAATATATTATTATAATATATTATTAATATATTAGTGTAATATATTATTGTAAATTATAGTAAAATAGATTATTTAGTAGCAATAATAGAATGAAATAACATGGTGACAATCAGACGAAACGAGAATTAAAAAGTATAGTGTCTGACAGGAAACTATCAGATTATTTTGAAATTATCAGCTACATTTTAATCACCGGGAAGATCATTAAAATACGTTATTAAACAAAATTCTCTATTAAATAAAATTCATTTATAAGTTTTTAAGTTCGACGGCTCGCGTCGCCACACTATAAGAAACAACAGTCGCCATTACTATAAGAAACAACAGTCTGCAGCTCGAACCAAAGCAGAGCAACAGAGCGATTTGTTGATTCGTTTTATGTTTGATCGAGTGTCGCCCCGTGAGTGTCTGGCGTGTCAAACTTTGCTGGAATTCTAAGGTCTTAGTATGTTGAATCAGTATGCAGGCTACGCTTGTTATACGCGGAAGT